TGGGTTTCAGCCTCTCGTCTCCAGCCTGGCGGTGGCACGGCTGAAAGCGGGGCACGGGGCGGCTGAGCCACCGCGGCGAGCAGCAGCTTGTTCCGAAGCACGGGTCGGGGATCGCTCGGGTGCTGAAACTGAAACTGCACCTGCAAAGAGCCAGCGTAATCATGGCCTTTGCTCCTTGGGAGGTGGGGAACAAACGCCTTTGGGAGCTGGTGCTGGGGGCGGCTGGCCAGCTGTGTCTGTGTGGAAAAGGAGCAGGAGAGAGTGCAGGTGGGGCTGCGGCAGCCTGGGAACTGCTGCGGGGGTGGTGAGGGCTTGCGGCTTCCCGCAGCTGGGCAGAGGCTGCTCTGGTAGGGCAGAAAGGAATCTTTCCCGGAGAGCTAAAAGTGAGGAGGGATCTCATGCGGGAATGGAGGAAGGGTTTACGTCTGGGGAAGCTTGAGAGCTGCGTTCCCAGTCTCTGCAGTGGAGCTACTGGGAGCCGCGCTGGAGATGTGGGTGTCTTGGCTGCGTGGAGCTGACGTGTGCAGAAGGGAAAACTGGGAAAAAGTTGCAGTGGGAACATTGTTAAACGTGTTTGTCCAGCCCTAATGGAGTCATGTCGTGAAGTTATTTGAAATTCTCTCCTTAGCTTCTTTGAAGACTTAGAGAAGCGACACCAGGAAAACCTCCTGATTCCTGATATCAGTGACATAGTGGAAGACCACGCCTCAAACCACTTCAATCCTTACATCAGCTACTGCTCCAATGAAGTCTACCAGCAGCGGACACTTCAGAAGCTGCTGTGAGTACTGCCGTGAGATCAAGGCCTGGGGCTTGCAAAGGAGTTGCCTACAAGGGGTCTCTGGGCTACAGGGATGCTAGCTGGCTGCAGGCCGGGCAGACAGGACCATCGCCTGCACCTACCTCCCGCAGCCTGGGGTTGTTTCCTTTTCCCTAAGGAAGGCCGTCTCCTTTCTGAGCAGAATTCCCCTTCTAGACCTTACTGTGTCTATGTCGGGTGATTAGGATGTGATTTGTGTTGTGCTGTAAGAAGGGTGAAGGACGGGGATAAGTGGGGGTAATGCTACCGCATACTGAAGTCAGGTGGGTCTTGCCAAGGTCAGTAACACGTGTGTGGTGTGTTAGGGACACATATGGAGGCTGTCCATCTCCAGGTCATACTGGGGGTACAGGTCACGTTTGTGTTCGCTGTTGGTACATCTACGGCTTTCCCTGCCTTTTGGTGGACTCAACATCTCTAGGTGCTTTTCCACCACCTGCTAACGGATCGGTCCATGTTCCGCCCCGGCTGTGTGCCCTGACCTCAGCAGACTGCCGTGGAACAGCAGAGGCAGTGCCGTCGCTGCACTGCATTTCTTCTGCATGGAAAGCTTCGGAAAAATCTGGATAACTGAAGAACAGAGTTAATGGAGCTTTCTTGTCCTGTTCCAGAACCACAAACCCCTTATTTAAAGAGACCTTGAAACAAATTGAAAGGAAACCAGAATGTGGAGGCCTGCCAATGATATCATTTCTCATTCTCCCTATGCAGAGAGTAACACGGCTTCCTCTGCTGTTAGATGTAAGTAAGTCGCACGGTGGCATTGCTTGGCATCTCTGAAGAGGTGCCTGTGTTCTGCCCTTCTTTGGTTTGCTGAGCCCAGGACAGCCTTCTGCTTGGATTTCCATCCTGCTGGGAGCTGAGGCTGGGATGCTCAAACCTATATTCATGATTTATATCCAGAGCGATCTGCTTCTTTTGGGTGTCAGATGTGCAGCTTAAAGTGTTGTGAATAACGCTTCGCGTCTCAGCACCATCCACCCGAGTGACATGAGATTCTTCTGTGCCCCGTGCTATGTCTGGATAGCCAGGGCAGGGTGGCACGAGTGTCCTGTTTGAGTAATGGTCAGGTGGCCCAGGAAGGGAAAGCAGGTCTTGCACAAGCTTCATTGAAATCTGGGACTTCTGGACCCAGCTGCTCTAAACAGCAAAGCTGCTGGGCGTGGGATTTCTCATAACTGCTCCCCGTCTGTATTGGGCTGCAGGGGTGAGGAGCAAGGGGCTGCCTGGTGTGCAGGGTGACAGCGATGGTCAGGCACGTGTCTGATGTGAAAGCCCCAGCAGCAGAAACCAGATTCACAGCTACCAGCGCTGTTAAACCTTGCTTTGACTGCATGCCTGTCCCACAGCCAGGCTGACCATTGGGAACGGCTCGAGCATGTGTTGCATCCTGAAATCCCAGGGAAGCGGTTGATGCGCAGTTCTCTGTCTTGCAATTATCACTAAAGCGTCTTATCTTGAAATTCTAGACTGTCTGTCAAAAAACAAAAGCATGCACTGCAGCGTACGGAGCTGCCACCAGAGCTCTGAAAGCCATCAGCAAGGTGAGGCCCGGCTGCCAGCTCTCCCCCTTTCCTCCTTCCAGCACACCGTTCCCTTACTCTGGCCCCAAGCCTGCTGTTCTGGCCTCTCATTCTTCCTCCCTACATCAGTTCACTTCACTTGAGATTTCTCTGCTCCAAATAGCTGCTGGATGTACACGTCTTCTCCCTTGCTCACTCTTTTCACCTGATCTTGGTTTTTTTGTTTTTCTTGTTATATTTTCTTCTTTCCCCTTTCGCCCATCTTTTGTCCTTCCCTTCGGTGTCATCTTCTCCATTAGTGCTCTCCCTTCTCAGAATCTCCCTCGAGGTGATAGCAAGCTGCGACACTTACTTGCCATGGTTTTTGGAGATTTAGCAGTAAACAAAGCAAAGAGCAGAATGTAAAGGAGCAAAGGAGCAGCAGTGGTGGTGGCAATCGTGAGCCATGCACTGTTCGTGCTCCCATGTCTCATCTCCATCTGCTTTCCCATCTCGTCGTCATTCACACGAGGTGATGTGCCAAAGAGATTACGGCCACCAAAGCGGCAATGGTGGCTCTTCCTTTTTTCCCCCCTTGAAGACCGGCTTATGGCAATGTGCTCCAGCTGCTCGTGGTCTGTTCTGCTTGCTCAGCCGGTGGGGAACAAAATGGACCACGCTGGACCACCCTTCCCCAGGCTGGAGGGGCAGCTGGCAGGGGTGCATCTGCTGGGGAGAGACAACGCAAGGGGCCGGGATGCCACGTGGCTGCCCTCTCGGCGGTGCTTCACCTCGCCCTCTCGGCGATGCTTCACCTGCCTGTGGAAGGCTTCTGTCCTCCCCTCATCTGATTGTTCATCCTCCTGTTTTAACCTCCTCTATTCAGATATTCAGACAACTAATTCTTCCTCTTCATATTGCTCCTTGGTGAAGCTTCGTCTTGGGGTGATTTCATTTTGGTCCTTCTCCAGGCAGAGCAAACATGCCAGCTCTCTCCTGGAGCTCTCTCATAGCAGGAGAAGCTCCAGCTGCCTTTCCCCAAACCTGTGTCGGGACTTGATCGTTTCTCCTGTTCAGGGAAGCAGGGCAGCTGCCTGACCCTTCACTGGTGGTACTGGTACTTCACGGGCTGGGCTCAGCATCCTGCCTTTCTCCGCTTCCCGTGTGGTGTTTTTCTTTTTCTAGCTGGTTAAGAACTGCAATGAGGGAGCTCGTGCTATGGAGAGGACAGAGCAGATGTACACCCTGCAGAAACAGCTGGAGTTTGGAAAGAAGAAGGTGAGGTCTTGAGGAAGTGGTGGGGGGAATTCTTCTGGGGTGTGCTGTTAGAGGGGCCCAGCTCATGCGTGTCAGACCTGTCCTGGGAATCCTTTCAGGAAACCTTGACCAGCTGGAGCATCACTGCTGCCAGGAGCAGCATCACCACTCCATGTCCGGGGTGATCATTTTTTCCTCCTGATCTGACTTACATAGGAGTTTCGGGGCACTCATCCTGCCGGCTTGGAGGGGTCAGCAGAGTAGTCCTGGATACCCCAGTGTCCCTCACAACCCTTCACTTTCTCTTCTGCCTTGCTCTGTGCTTTCATCTCCTGCACATGGGGGGTGAAAGCTGGACTTGCCCCTGACAAGAGGAGGTTTTACCGGGGTGGATCGGCTGGCAGCGATGTCTGCCCTTGCTGTCTTGTTCCAGACAGACACGGGGCTGCTTCTGTCTGTAAGGACTGTCGGACATGGGCAGCTTTCTGAAGGGCTGCAGTAAAGCCTTGACATTGTGCCCCACTGCTGGGGTTCAGGGGGCTGCGTCTCTGGGCGTATTGGAGCGGGGTGGACGGCTGCTCCGCTTCCCCGCCTGCCTCCTGGGAAAAAAATGTTTAAAAGCACATGATGTGTCCATCTCGACTGACCCCAGGGTCCGCTGTGAGTTCAAATACAGCTTCTTGACTTGATTTTGCCTGCCGCTCATGAGACAGGTAGTAAGTCAGACTTTCCCTGGATACGTTTCAGCCTTTCCCGCTGATTTCTGCTTCCCGCTGGCTGCTGAAGCGGGGGGAGCTGTACCTGCTGCTGTCGGAAGAGGTGGGCATCTTCCGCCGAGGCACCGGCCGGCTCTGCTACCTCTTCTTGTTCAACGACGTCCTGATCATAACCAAGAAGAAGAGGTAAGGCTCAGCAGGGAAAGGGGCCTTCCTTTCCCTGGAAAACAACTAGAGGGATTAAAAATCTCAGTTTCCCAAGCAACAAGTAGCCTAGGAAATTCTCGTGATTTCCCTGTTCTGACCTTTATTGAAGTGTCCCTTGTTAGCCAGAAGAGAAGCACCCAGCTCCACAGCCCTTGGCCTTGCTTCTGTTTGTGGGTGGCCAGCAAGTCCGCAGAGCCGTGTCCCATCCCTGGGCAGCAGCTCGTGTCCTTGCTGTGACGGTCGCCTTGGCAGTGCCCATCAAACTTTGCCTGCCGGGGCTCTGAGCCGGCACCGGGAGGGAGCTCGGTCCTCGCTGGTGGGATCCGCTCTGCAGCTGTGTGCAGCTGAGGTGCCAATCCCGTCTTTGCCGCAGCGAGGAGAGCTACACCGTCATGAACTATGCCACGCTGGACCAGATCACGGTGGAGAAGATTGAGAACACGGACCCACCTTCCCCTCCTCCTGGCAAGACCGGGAGTGGTGGCATGGCCCGCGGCACAGCCGGCGGTTACCTGCTCCGGGTGGTGATGGAGAAGAACAGCGAGGGCAGGCGGGAGGAGATTGTGCTGTCCGCAGAGACGCTGTGAGTGGCCCGGTGGGATTCCACAGGGTGCACATTCTTGCTTGTGGGATAAACTGGTGCCCTGGAAATCCCCCTGAGCTTTCTGCAAAGCACCCTTTTCCCTCCTCACTCTTCCTCCCAGAAAGGGGGACCTGCGCGGGCTTCTCCCCTTGCTCTGTTTCTTTCTCTCTTAGATTTCCTTTATAATTCCCATATAATGCTTCCCCTGTCCAAATTAAGCAAAGCGGCTGAGCGGTCTGTACCACTTGTGAAGTATCTTCATGTCTGACATCCCTTGAAAGCCTTCATCCTGCTGAGAATTTCCCAACTACTGCTGGCAACACGGATGCTGTCTCTGAGGCTTTCTTTGTAATACGGGTTTTCCCTCTGCCAGGAGTGACCGGGCCCGGTGGATTACTGCGCTGATGCACAGAGAAAAGGAAAAGCCAGACACCACGCCTAAAGGAGGTACCGGCGTGCTGGAGGTCAGGCCTAGCTGTGTGGGGATTAGCAGTTGCGCTAGAGCCTGAGCATTTGCAGGCACAGGTTTCTACCCTGTTCTTACCTGCTCCGCTGGAGAAGGAGCTGAGGACCTGTGTCGATGGAGAGGAGAACTCGGGGTGCCACGCCTTGCTCATTAGGAGTTGCCTCCCATTAAGTTATCAGTCACAATAAACCTTAAATACATTTCTTCGGAGACATGATGAAATTC